TGAGCCATCTAAACTTTTTCACGGATTAAGTACACTCACTCTATACAATGTAACTGCTTAAAACTATTATTTTATAAGCTTTGAATATGCACACTGTACATAGCTGGTTACCTTTAGGGAAGAACAGCCCTACTGCGATCTTTGACAGCTCTTCTTTCTTAGATTGCCTGGGTACATTATATTCCCGCATCCCACCACCCTGACCTTTCTTTTTTTGAACATATTTTTGACCGGACCAATGCTTCCACCCAAATTCATACTTCAAAGTTTCCTTTCCTTGTTTCTCTTTTTTGACTTTAATGCTTTCATTAATAGACAATTTGGTCTTCCATTTCTGGCGTCCATCAAGAATCGCCTTTAGGTCATCAATTTTTTATTTCCATCCAAATCATACAAGTCAATCAAAGAAAATATCGATAGTTATTGTAATGTAAACGGCGGCACTTCGTTAACAGCGATTGGGAATGTTGTGAGAAATAAGCTATCTGAAGGCCCATTTACCAGAAAGCGACTCGCTAAACCGTCGCAAAGTAAGTTTACGCCAGTGAACTTGAATTATTGTCAAAACTTCCTGGATACAATAAGCACACTACCTCCTTAAAGTTTGAAATTTTTTGATGAAGCAGGAGTTCATTCCGGGTCTGGGAATTCTGTGTACGGACACTCACTTCGTGGAACACACGCCATCGAAATATCGAAGAACAAAAAAGGCGCAAATGTCACTCTAAATCTACTCTGTGGTTTGGAAGGAGTTCTTTAGGCTAATACTGTAGAAGGAAGTTCCGACACAATAAATTTCTTAGATTTCTTTGATGAAGCGGGGCAAGCTATGACTGATTATGGCAATCCAGCCATTGAGTTTGGTGACTATATCATTTTAGATAATTGCGCAATTCATCGTTTTGAAGCTCCTCAAACGCTGCATAGATGGCTAATGCTTAGAGATGCAAACCTTATATTTACCCCTTCCCTTTCTCCAGAATTTAATGCTGCTGAGTATTGCTTTAACAAAATGAAAGCTACTTTAAAAAGAGAGGAATTTGCGCCTATATTTATTATTATTATTCCATTATGATTCCATTACTGACTAGCGGCTATAAAGTTAACATGTTTTTCATAATAAACTCCACAATCTTTCTTTCTTTTTCGTATTATCAAACTACTCATCTAATTAAATGTGAACGTACTAGTAATATAACAGTACATGTCTGAGTGTAAACAACATAACTTTCAAAGTCATTAAATAGTGTTCAATTTTCACCTCGTAGTTCACTTAATTGCTCTATTGTTTCTATTTATTGTTTTCATTTGTGGTACTTGTACTTGAAGATGGCCAAACTATTCCTTTTAGCTCCCAAAGTGTACGAATAGGGTTCCCATCACGAGCACTACAGCCACCTGTTGTCTGTAATTTAGAGTTGTACTCATCGAGCACTGCGCTTAAACTGATCTCTTCGCCGAGAATTTTTCCTTTGAAATGTGCTTGTAACTTCTTTAAATCTTCGTTAACTTGTTTCCAATTTTCTAGTCCTTGTGAATTGAGGTAGCGATAAGGTATTTCATTGATTAAACGAGTGCGCATAAGCTTGCCAAATGAATTAGCTTGCTGTTCTTTCAATGCCAACTTCATGGCCAAATTGTTCTCTAGCTGTTKAACTTCCCTCTCTACCGCTTGCAGTTTACCAGTTAAAGCGCTGACCTGATCTTTTTCATCTTTATGCTTGGTTAAGTCACCACAGAATTCAGCAGATGTGCAAGGATACCCTGAAGCTTTGAAAGGACAATTTATACGATTGTGTCCTTCCCGCCGATGACAGTAAGTGCATGAAGGCTTTCGGTAGTCAACACCCGTCACGTCTGCCATATTTTTCAGTTAAAAGTTCTAGCTCATGASGAAGTTCAAAGACTTTAGTCTTTTTTTCAGCTACTTCATTCATCTTATCTTGAATTAAAAGATCTAAGGGAGATTTGTACTTTGTCCTTTCCGCCGTGKGAGCAGTACTACTCGCGGCTGTGTTCGTAACTGACGCTTGATAACAATCTCGTTGTTGTTTTCGTGGTGGCGAGTTCACTATTGCATTATTGATTTCTTCTCTTGATAGACCGGACCCAGATGGAATTTTTTTTTTAAGTTTCATTGATTTTACTTCTACTGTCTGTAAAATTGAGCTGCTTTCTTGAACTTTGTGAACTACGCTCGGTACTACTAACATGGTTCGACGGGGTCAGCTTGTTGTCTACTAGCGCGCTTTGGCGCCTTTAAACAGCGACCATTTCAGGAGTAGATTTAGGAGCGCATTTTCTACGTAGATTGGCTTCGAAAATACTGCGCTGCAGGAATGTCGTTTTGTTGATTTTTGCTGTCTTTTGTTGTTGCTGCTGTTTTTTTATGCTAGCCTACATGAGCGATGTTATTGTAAAAGGTAGTTAAGATGCTAAGGTCCCTTTTGCTCTCGAGTCTCTACGCTAGGGACCACTGGTCGCCGGCGTGTTCTTTAGGGCCTTTTTGCTTTGACAACACTCATATATTTATATTTCTATACTAGGATATTATACTATAAGTTGCTATTACGTTTCTGTAATAAATTGATTGAACCCCCCTTCCCCCCCCAAAAAAAAGACTTGGTTGGTCCTAATATATTTCAGCCTAAAGGTGAGCGAATAGCGTAAGGCTCTCCAACTCCTCTTCTCTCTTCGAGCACCCAGAATGCTTCAGGAACGTTGCTACCAATGATCATCTTCACTTCTTTGTTCTGAAAGTCCGGCAAGCTTACATCATGTAGGTGGGGCCAGCTTTGAACCTCTGTGTTCGTAGGGATACTGTGGTTTGAGACATTATCACTGTCCACAGTCCATATTTGTTGATTAATGGTTTGCACCATTCGCTCAGCAAATCCGTTCGACTGTGGGTAGAGTGGTGAACTAGTCACGTGATCTATGCCATACGTTGCTGTAAAGGACTTGAATTCTCTGCAGTCATACTGTGGTCCGTTGTCTGTCATAAGACGCGATGGTATACCGTGTTCAGAGAATATACTCTTGAGGTGGTTGACGATTGCTGCTGAGGTTGTACTGGTAAGTTGGCGTATAATAGGAAACTTGCTGTACTGGTCTGATACAAGCAGGTAGGTTTTACCTTTGAAATCAAATAGGTCAGAACTGAGTGTTTCCCATGGTCGACTTGGAGTGTCAGGTTGCAGAATGGGCTCTTTYCTGTTCTTCTTTTGATACTTTTGACATGCGTTACAGTGTTCAACAAGTTGCGTAATGTCTTTTGTGATCCCAGGCCAATATACATATGAGCGATGTTATTGTAAAAGGTACTTAAGCTTTTAAGGTCCCTTTTGCTCTCGAGTCTCTACGCTAGGCACCACTGGTCGCGGGCGTGTTCTTTAGGGCCTTTTTGCTTTGACAACACTCATGTAGTCTTGCTACTATATATAGCACAAGCGCTCTGACGTCTTGCTACTGATATACCGTAAACCCTAACCCTAGCAATACCTCTTTGCGAGTGACGCGACGACTCAGACGCGCGCCGATCTGCCATCTCTCCTTTCAAATTAGCACAACCAAGCCGGCAGTCATCGAGAACACCTGATCATGACGTCNGCCGTGACGGTGGCTATTAACTTGGAGTCCAGAACTCTGCAATAGAGAGTAAATCAAATCGTCAGTGCGGCGGGTAAAACGCGCATTTTCTACGTAGATTGGCTTGCAAAATACTGCGCTGCACGGATGTCGTTTCGTTGTCTTTTGTTGTTGCTGTTGTTTTTTTTTTCATGCTAGCCTACAATGTAATCTTGCTACTATATATAGCACAAGCGCTCTGACGTCTTGCTAATATTCAGTGCTATAGCGCGCTATTTAGAAGGTTAGCGACTACAACTCATCTTTGCTATTTGCTATTCACGGTGGCGTGGCAATTTCCCATCACTCCATCTTTTCAAACCAGCACAGTATAGTATAACAATTTAAATGGATGCCTACGTAGAGAATAAAAGAAATTGTCAGTAAAATATATAATTGATGTGTCTTTTTTGTCATTTGAATTCATATTTCTATTTTATCTCTTTTTCTCTCTTTTTTTTTAATCTTTATTTTTCTTCGATTCTATATGACATTATATATGACACATTGTAAATAGTTTAACATTTGAACGATTGTAAAGCGCTGTTGATCTGACATTGTTAAATAGCGCTATATAAATTATTAAATAATAATAATAATTATTATTATTATTATTATTATTCAAAATATTTGGTATTTTTCTAACGTTTTTTTAGAAGCTTAATACCTTTAACAATTGCAACGACTACAGGGATGCACATGAAGAAACGGAAGTATAAGAATTTGAACGAAATGCCTGTTGCGAATAAAAGAAGTTGTCAGTAAAATATATCATTCATATGTCAAAATATTGGGTATTTTTTAACTTTTTTTAGAAGCTTAATACCTTTAACAATTGCAACGAATAATGGGATGCAAATGAAGAAACGGCRATATAASAATTKAAACGAGATGCCTGTAGACAATAAAAGAAATTGTCAGTATTGTATATCATATGTCAAAATATTGGAATATTTTTTTTTCGCCTTTTTTAGAAGCTTAATACCTTTAATAGTCTTAAAGACAACAAAACTGAAGCAATTGAAAAACTGGTATAACGATTC